CCAACTGCCCCCCTCAACCCAGACCCCCCTCCCCCAACCCGGGCCCTCTCTGACCGCAAACACCCTCTTCTCCATCCTAATCCCAACGCCTACCTTGAACTACCTTCTAAGATGCCTCTTCTTCAAATACGGTCGATATTGTCCAAGACAGCCTGACACCTATTATTAAAGAGAAAGTATGTGCTTGTCTTAGAAAGGTTGACGTCTTGGACAGTGTTATCATAATGAAGAAAAACTCTCAGGGGAAGAAGCGGGAAATGGGAAGTTATCAAGGAAAGCAGCTGGACGTGGTCGTTTGTGCAAGTGATTGTCTTGGAAAGGTGACCGTTAAAGCAGGTTTGATTGTAAAAAAAAAGCCAAAGACACTTGTTTTCATAAGGAAGAGAACCGTTGCCTGTTGTTATGTTGGATCATGGTGAAGTCCCCCTCCCTCACCCCCCTCCCCCCACACACACACACAATAACGTTTAGATAGGTACAAATTTTATGTGAAAGAAGATTGGTTACTAAAAATGCACATCAAAAGAGAGAGAGAGAGCTAGTAGTAGTAGTAGTAGTAGTAGTAGTAGTAGTAGTAGTAGTAGTAGTAGTAGTAGTAGTAGTTGTTGTTGTTGTTGTTGTTGTTGTTGTTGTTGTTGTTGTTGTAGTATTGTTGTTTGATCATTATAATACTGCTATCAACATTTTTGTGAGGGATCGTGGTGAAATCAGGCGCTCGTCAAAATATTGAAATCGAAGATAAAAGTATTTTCCGCCAGTTTTGGCTTTTTTCTGTTATTTTTTTTATTTGTTTGTTTCTGAACACCAGTTATGTCCATTTAAGAAGATATTTCTTGGTGGATTTTACTGAAAACCATTAATTAAACGCTCAACAAGTGTACATTTTCAGTTTCCAAGGATTCTCAAGCTCTGGAAATCCACAAACATTGGACCCATTTTCTCGCTTATTTATTTACCTCTAAAACATGGCGTCCCTGACCTCTTTCAATCACAAATATCTCAACGTTTTCTTCTTTTTTATTTCTGTCTTTCTTCTTTCTTCTTATATCTTCTTTCTTTTTTCCCCTTTTTGTTAGTGTTTTATGGCGCTCGTAACTGCATAAGGACTTATGAGCGCGCGGGACACATTGAACATTTTTCAGCTGGTGGGAAATTTTGAACTGTGCACGGGAGGGGGGGGGCACCGAAGCCTACTATCAATTTTAGGACCACCAAGGGATCTTTAACGTACGCAACTTGCTCACGGACCTCCGAGATTTTTCGCCGTTATCCGAGAAGACTATGTGTCAGATCTTACCTACCACGAGGGGTGTGAAATTAAGCCGAGGATTAACAGTAGAAATGCTGCAGAAAGAGTTAGGAGCCCAGAGGAAGGGGCAAAGGGTGGTTGGGGAGGTGGCAGAAAGTGGAGACTGCTTCAGATGACAGAACATTGTTATAGAGCAGGAAAGGAGGTGAAAGGAGAAAACTGTAGAAAAGAAATGTTCCGTCGCTGTCTGGATTTGAACCCGCGATCTATTGAATGAGAGGCAAACACCTTAACTTCTAGACCACAAGAGCCCCCTACCTCAACTTTTATTCAGGATAGATGTGTATTATTTTCATAGAATATAATGAATATATTTTCATAGAAAATAAAAAGTCAAATGAACAAGCTTTAAGATATTACCAAAATTCCAGATGCGAAAGAAATTGACGAGCGCCCGATTTCGGAGCGTCTATTTCTGGAAGGTTGATAGTGGGAGCGGGTTAAGCTTTACTACCCGCAAAGTAATTTCTGAGTGCTGAACCTAACACTATCCGTTTTGTACGTACTTTTTTGTGCTGCATCTTACCGCTTGTGGACTTTCAGACGTAATATTATGCTGGAATAAGACATTGATGTCAGAGATAATATTAATCTTTCTGCTGAACTTATTGAAGACTTGCATTCTGGTCATTCGACAACGCTTGAAGGCGCGCTGTTGTTGTTGTTGTTTTCTGTTTTGTTGGGAGTATATTTTAATAGTTTTTCTTTTTTTCTTTTTTGGTTTGTATGTTTTTGGTTTTTTTATTTATTGTGGAGGGATTTTTGTTTTGTTTTGTTGTTGTTGTTTTTGCTTTTGTTTTTTGTTTTTTTAATGGAGGGGGGGGGGGGCACTTGAGAAAAGAAACCTAATTATCTTAGTTATTCATACAGATTTTTTTTCAATTCTGTTTTAAATTGACAAGCAACAAAATGCGTACAGAGAAATAAACAAATTCCTGTGTTTCAGATTCGTGTACGATGGCTCGAAATGTGCCACTCACTACATGCCTTTGGTCTACTGCTGGTCAGACGAAGTTTCCGCTAAGTGTTCAAAGAGTTAATTAAGCCAGAGGCTTCATGACATACAAAAATCGCTACTTTTGAATAACAAAGTTTGTTTTATCTGGCATGCTTGGCTGTTTTGAGTTACTAAGACCATAAAGTCAGAAACCAAACGATCTGTGTGTTCTATCAAAATGGTAAGATTTTTATCTGAGTCGTTGTCATGATATTCAAAGAATTTGCATTCGAAAAAGCTTGACATGTTGTAAAACTCCTTGGTTTTACGCCAAATGTCTCAAAACTAGGTACTGACCAGATAGAACGTTGTAATTCTAGGGTAGCGAAATGTCACCCAACCAAAAGGAAAGTTGCACTTTGTTTGTGAAGATATGATAGAGGACTGAGTGCCCTACAACAATCTTGGGAGAAATGTAACATTATTTTTTTCTCTTTCATGAGGGCTGGTCGTCTGTCCACAGATGTACAGATGTACAATCGACATTCTCTTGTGCGACCACCCTTTGTCGAGGAGAGAGTATGTCAACTAATACGGGGTGTCCATTGGAGGATCAGGTCGGGTCGGGTCGGGTCGGGTCGGTTTGCTAGTACGGGGTGCCCACTACAAATGGATCGGGCAGATCGCCCGACTCGATCGTCTGAAACTGAAAACAAACAGGTTTGTTTTTTAGGCGATCGAGTCGGGCGATCGGCCCGATCAGCCGATCCCTTTCGTAGTGGGCTAGTGGGCACCCCGTATAGCCAGATTGAGGACACAAAGCGGCTATCGTGGCACAAGCCGATGGCGTCCGACTCATCGCCTCAAAAACAAAGCGCGTTTGTTTTCATGTGATGAGTCGGGCGTTCGACACCACCTGACCAGACCTGACCCGATCCCATCCGCAATGGGCACCCGTTATTAGACAAGTAGACTTCTTAGTGTCTTTATATCATTTAAAAAGGGTAAAATGAAGGGAGGCGTGGGGTGGGTGGGAGGTGACCATAAATAATTTGTAAAGTTAATTGTCATATTATACTAGTGACCGAAACAGCAGGCCTGACTGCATTTTGAAAAACTGAATACGGGTAAATATTTTATATTGTTTTTTCATTTTTAAACATTTTAAATTTTTATTTATTTATTTATTATTATTTTTTTTTTTTTGCTGTTTCTATTTTAAATGATATTAATGTTTACGCAACAAGACACATTTTAGATCATGCAGAAAGCGAGCTACTTCGACCCTGCCTGACAAGGATTATAATTATAGCATACCAGCATTCAAACGAATACAGTATGGTTTCTGTAGCAAGACTTCACTTCTCGCGATTCGAAGTCACGTCTTTTGTGTGTGGGGGGGGGGGGCTAGAGGATCTTACAAACACACCATACAATATACCAGAAAAGGATACAACAACAGATAAGAATTGCCTAGAATGCGTTATAGATTTAACAACATTTAACAAATACGCTCGTAGAAAACGGGGATTGGGGGGGGGGGGGTCATATAGGTTGAACGCCGGTGGTTGGCAGGTGTTCAGATGCGGTTTGCTCTTTCTTGCCCATGAAACATCTATCGTACTTTTCTCTCTTCCTTTTTGTGCTTGTTACTCTCTTGTAACGCCTCCAATCTTCGGCACTTATAATGAACTTATTGAGTATCAGATGCCGTGAAACTAAAATTAAATTTTATAGGAAAGACTTAGCTTCGAGTCCAGGACAATCAGAGTTGACAATGCTTGCTCAACGATCTGTCTTTTTTATTTTCTTGAAGTTTTGAGTCCAGCAGCGGCATTGGCAACAACGATATGAAAAATAACTATAGCACAAAATGGTGGTCTGCAAATGACAGCAGTAGTAAAAGGAAAAAAAGATATCCAGTAGCAATAACTATAACAAAAACGAAAACAGTAATGATATTATCAACATTATAACATGAATTTCTTTAATGAATCTGTTTATAGAATTGAGAATTAGTGAAACTCTATCTAGGACTCAAAAGCACTCACTACAAGAGAGGTTCAATTTTTACTTCTTCCCCCACCAACATTGGCCCCATCAGCTGCAGCTGCTGCAGCAGCAGCAACAACAACAACAACAATTATAACAATTACAACAACAGCGAGAATACTAACAGCAACGACCACGAAAAAGATGTCATTGCTGGTAATATTGTCTTTAAAGTCAAGCAAGGCAAAAAATATCAAGAACCAGAGAATTGCATCAGAACTAGTGCTCAAATCATTTTATTTTAATTAAGTGAGAAATAAAATCAATCGATTTTTGTTCTTTTAGATAAAAAAAAAAAACGCACATACAAAAGGAATGCAAACAAGCCTATTTATCAGAAACGACACATGCGAATGTTTAGACACATTGACAATTCAAATTAACTAAAGGGGAATTTTTAAAAAATCCATTAAATTCTAAATTCAGAAAGGATAAAAAAGCGAGGGGAGTTCAGTGCTCTTCACTGTGTGGCATTAAGCAAAGTAAGTCTTCCATCGCTCACAGCGCCACCTGAGATACCCCAGAGACAAGCAAGGTAAGGGGAGGTGATTGAGACATTCCGTGACAGATGCGGCTAACTGACCAAACATCAAACATTAGCGCAGTCGTTAGGGGCGAAAATGGCGCTACTAAAGCGGGCGATATCAATATTTCAGGCCTTCGTGCGCCACCTAACGGCTCCATTTGTGCCCGGGCGAGCCA